TATTTCATTGCTTGTGATGTAATCGCAGATGAAATCAACAGTTTCATTAAGGGGAACATTGGTGAATAGAGATTCTATGTCAATTGAGCACATAACCTTATCCTTGATGTTCAAGGTGTCTAGCGTATCTATCAGATCAAATGAGCTTTTTAAAGAATTATTAGATAATGAGTCTCTTACAGGCATAAGGACTTCTGTAATCCATTTTGCGATTTTGTGGTATGGAGAACTCGACATGTCTAAGATGGGTCTCAGTGGGTTTCCAGTTTTGTGGATCTTCGGAAGGCCATAAAGCTGGGGAGTATGTGACCCAATTGCTTTAAGTTGTTTATAAAGCTTTTCATTTATAAAACCATGCATCAGTAAAATCTGAAGCTGACGGTTGATCTGCTTTTCCACAAGCAGCACATTATCAGTAGCATTGTCCACCAGAAATTCGGACTGATCTTTGAGGATATCATTCATTTTATTTTGATAGTCCGATTTGTCCATAATGACAACGCCTTCTCCCTTATCAGGCTTAAGGATAATAAGATTATATTTTTCAATTAATTCCTTAAGTGCGGCGTGGTGTTCTTTTGATAAACCATTTTTCTGGTGTATTCTAGCATTTATAAATTGTTGAGAAATGTCTACCAGTTTAACTTTAAACCAGTCAAGATTATCTTTACTAGAAGGAGTTAAATCGGAGATTTGATCATAAAGGTTTTCATACTGTGACTGAACTTCCATTTTGTTTATTTTCATAGGAATAGTTTTGTACTTCAATCCATAATAAGATAATGCTTCCAACTGTAGTTGGGATAGAGTGCAGTTAGATAAATTAATTATATGCTTGTGGATATCTTGAGGAAATTCCAAAATATGATTCGTGTCTTTCAAAGATTTTGTTAATTTTTGTTTGGTAGGACTTATGGTCTGTTTTACCATATCATTGCAAAATACAGTGAATTTAATACGACATACTAAAGATAAATTATCCATAACTGGAATTAGTCTTTGGTGTGTTTCAACAAATTTCGAAAGTTTGTCATTAATTTGATCAATTTCTAATTCAGCAAAATGCCGAAGATTGGAGAGTGAAGATTTTGACTTATTTCGACGTAGTGATTTGTAAAATGATATAGGAAAATGTTTATTTTGGATGCAGTTGCGATAAAACCTTAGTCGTTCACGCTGAATAACAACTTTACATCAATATTAATGACTGTTTTACAATTATTTAACATAACTCTAATTCAAGGTTATTGAAGGTGATGGAAGCACTTTGGATTAATGACATACAGCCTAAACTGTGTGTACAAAAATCAATAGACTTCAATCTTCGCCTACCCTGGACTACTTGACCTATCTAAATATGATTGGTCATTAGTATGTACTTTTGTTTTTATTTAACTGAGTAATTGTCATGAACTTTATTTTATTATTGTTAAACATGTTAGTTGTAAAGCGGTTGTAAAGAAACTACGAAATGATATCATTTCGCGAAATTTATCTTCTTAATGCCTTATTCAAATTTATCAAAGGGACTACTTGTTTTAATAAGCCTCTTCTATCTGTTATATCTCATCATTAAAGTCTTTTTTTCTGTTACTTAGTGCCATTGACGGGTTGTCAAACGCTAAACTAAGCCTGCATTAACAGTTAAACGATGAGATTAATTAAAGTCTAAATATCTATTAGAATGCGTTGGTTTTCTATAAACACTAGTGTGTAGTTTGCCTTCTTCTATTCGTTTTATTTTACAATCTAACATAGCGTATTCTCCTTGCTCATTTTCGGCTTCAAAAGTGAATTTTATTCCCTCCACTAGTGAGTTTATGTGTGTCGAGAAGCTAGAGATATGTTCTGTTTTTACCACTGTGAAATTGTCATCCACATATCTCCACCATATTTTTAAGTGCCATATTTTCCCAGCTATCCATAAATATATCTGCTACGATAGGGGATATTGGTGATCCCATTGCTACACCTTCAATTTGTCTATATATTTTGCCTTGGAATTCAAAGATAGTAGATGTGAGGCACAACTGAATTCCTAAAATAATTTCATCAATGGGTAGTTTCGTCCTGTAAGTGAGTTCAGGGTCAGCAGTTAATTCTTTTTTAACTGCTTCTAAGGCCATATTGATTGGTATGTTAGTATAAAGACTGGTTATATCAAAACTAACCATTGTTTCATCATTCTCTAGTTGAATGTCATTTAGTTTATTTTTCATCGCAAATGAATTAGATAGTCTAGAGTTTGAGCGATTTCTAATGGGGCATAATATTAGAGCTAAGTGTTTTGATAATTCATAAGTAGGAGTATTCCTAAAATCTACTATTGGTAGTATGGGGTACCCTGGTTTATGTATTTTAATAGTGCCATACATTCTACTAGCATTATTAGTTTTAGGCATTAAATTAAACCATTTTGACTCACCCAGTGACGGCTTCATTCTGCGTATTAATTCCGTTGTGAATTTTTTTAAACATTATTCGTTCTTTATCTATGGGCTTCTTAACTTCCTCATGTGGACCCATCTCAATATATTCACTGACTTTCTTGATATGGTCAGACTTATCCAAGACTACTGTCGAGTTTCCTTTGTCCGCTTTTGTAATGACGATGTTTTTATCTTGTTTTAGACTAATTAAAGCTTCACTTTCCGATGTTGTTAAGTTTGATTTTGTTTTCTTTCTTTCTTTTGCACATTGTGCTCAAACCTCTTCTGCTGTCGTCTTATCTTTTGAGCTTAGTGCTACTTCTGTGTTTGGAATGACATCCTCTGGTTTTAATTTATTAACTGTTACGTTGAAATTTAGTCCTTTTCCAAGTACTTTTATCTCACTAGAGCTTAGTTCCCTTGATGAGAGGTTGATCACCGACTTTGTTCTGTCGATAGAGGATGAAGCGTTGACATCGATTTCATTTGTTGTGTTCTTTTCTTCAGTTAGTTTGTTGAACTTTTTGATTTGTGCAATCATCAGTAAACATTACTGTATAACACCGTGAGACTTTATCAAAACAAAATTTACCCATAATGGAATTACACTCTACCACAGTGCACAAGTTTTATTCTTATATCAATGATAAAGCTTATTACATTCAAAATGATGAAATTTTGTTTAGAATCCGAAAATCTCCTTTCGCTTTGCAAAATTACACCTCGAATTTGCTGATATGAACCATCAATCCAGTGTGCCATACTACACCAGTTTATTTCTCCATCATTATTTCCCATCTCATTAATAAAAACAACAAATTGACTGATTCATGCATACAGACTATTTCACTGTAGCCATTGATGATGAATCTTAATTCAGCGTGATGATTTCTATTCCGCGATTTGTCCGACGTTTTGTCAATATAAGTTACTTGTAATCTCTGTGATGTGTGTGTTTGAAATATTCAAGCTGTCATTTCTCAACATCTACAATGATAATGATAGCTGAGTGTGAATTTCAAAACTCTCACTCCGTGCATAATTTTCCTACTCCTAATTACACGTTTGCCATTGTCATCTAAACTATGCTAGCAATATTATATATCCTCGGTGCAGTGAATGTCCAATCAACTTTCATCTCATTGTGAGTGTTCCTTGGGAGGTTGGTTCTCACGTGGTTCACTGAGACAGCTCCCTGTCGCTCATTGCTGCTGATAAGACCTGTGATTTCCAGTGTACAGAAAAAGCACCTGTCGATGTGTGTCTGATTCCAGGTCGAATTGCCATCCACGATGCACACGTCAATTGACTGAAGGAAGTGGAGGCGCTGGCATGAAGTTAGTGTTGGAAATTCTCGACTTGTGCTTAGTGATGAAGATCTTTACATTGATTAGAGAATGACCATGCTCATCGACTCACTCACCAGACCGAATCGCAGCTGCCTCTGGCGTCACCATCAACAGCACCTGTAGACGAAACGATGTTGGCCATATAATTAGGCAAAAGAGATAACAATATTCAAATTTCTGCAAGTGACAGTGATCTACGCTTCTTCTTGTTGCTGATTATCTATTTCATCTATCTCTTGTCTATGTTCACCTGAAGAGCTGAATTCGCTGAATCTTATCGTGAATGGCTGTCTTCAGCGTGAAGATTGAGATTGTGGGAAATGACGCGTGAATGGTCCACCAAATTCCAGATCTTCTGCAGTCCTTTCGTCGGTCTAACGTATGTTAATAGTCTTGCTCTTCACAAAAACAAAGCTAGTGAATTCGATCAAAACATATTTCTACATATATATATTATTATTCCCTTGGGTTCCTAGTGGAACATATGGCTTCAACTGCACGCCTTCACTTGCTTCTGTCTTGTGCTGTACTTTTCACTTGCATCCATGTTAAGCCATAATGTTTCAGTTCCTCTTCACACGATCTCCTCCATGTCACTCTTGGACGTCCCACTCACCGCTTCCCTTTCGGGTTCCACTCGAGCACTGGCCTGACGCGCGATGTCACCCAGTGGCCTCCTCAGCGAGTGTTCAATCCAATATATATATATATATTGTTAGCAGAATTTAGCGAATAGCATATCCACTTCAAGTTTGTTGCTATGGTTGTTTGTTAGTTGCATCATTGAAAGCTTGGTAGAATGCATTTTCTCCCATAACTTCATGCAACACAAGTCCATAATGTCATCAATGAAATAGGTTACCCTGTTGTATTCATTGGGAGAAACATGATAGCATATGCAATAGAGTGGAAGTAACACCGCTTACAAAGAAACAATTGTCGATGAAGCGTCGTTCCAATTGGTCAATTATTAGAAGAAATGTCAGCGCACCTTCTATTTATCAGTTGTCAGCTCAGGTAAATGACAAATTACTCAAAGGGGTGCATTCAACAGAATGTGTCTTCTCAAGGTATTTCATGAATTTCAAGTGTGTGGATTTTCTGATTTCTGCTTTATAATTTGTTTTGTTCGCATTCTATTGGTTACTTTCATATCAGTCAATGGACCAATTACACATTTCTCATAACCATGACTTAGTTTGTCATTTACGATTATATTCACCTCACAAATTACTCTGAAATGTTAAGTGATTTCTGCAAATCTGAATTTCTCGTCTGAATAAGGAAGTGTCATTTGATACATCAAGGAATCACAACATGAATCTTCTGGGTGAGTAGTTGTCTATTCTTCATAATTGCAAGTCCGTTGCAAAGTGACTTCCAAACAGAAACTCGTGATACTACTCGTTTTATGGCTTCCTCTATTACCAGTCCTCCATCTGTACACTCAGCATTATTTCAACAGGAAAGTGTCAATAGAGACCAATGATTGTTGGCAAACATTATTGAAGAACAGCATAGATTTGAAAGGGAAGATAGAATGGATATATCAGTCGACATTTTCGTTGCGCACACTGACAGGTGAGTATAATTTTCACCCGTACACCATTTAACTATTTATTGATTAAACAGAAACATGAGTACGATAAATGAATGAATAGTTTAGAAACTGATTAATTATTTGAGACAGTGACGTACACTATTAAAGAAATATTTTTAAGCGATATAACTAACATATGATAGACAATAAATTCCATCATTTGAACCACTCAAATTTAAGGGGGTCACAACAGATCGCATTTCAATAGAATTGTGTTTGTGGAGTAGAGTAATCTGTATAGGATCAATCTCAATATACTTAACGATGTCGATCACCTTCAACTGAGGTTATCGATGTTATCAAACCAACCAGTCGTGAACCGGTTCTATTCGCGTTAGGAATTTCACTGAAATATAGTGGATTATAATTAGCTGAAAATTTTGCCTAAAGTGCCTCCTAATATTGCGTGATTATTAGCATAAACACACTTCAAAATCACTTCCTTCACAACATTAATGTTGTTATTATATAATGGGAATTCAGTAAATCTGAGGAATCGTCAGGTGTTTCTTGTCTTTTTGAATATGTATAAAATTGATACACATTGATTTAGGTACTGATGTCTAGGCTTTATACATTCCAACCGCTAGAGTTCCTTCTGTGAATCATCACTTGCGTTCAGTCGGCCATTTCTTTAGTATTTCATATCTGATGACGAGAATGTTTAGGAAATGGTTTGTTTATAGAATTCTACTGATACGCCTAGCGACGACTGAAGTTCAAATAAAGCTCTGGGCCATTGTTCAATGTGTGCCTGGAGCCTACTAATCACTACTCCTAATTATTTTAGTGAATACTAGTCTATGAACTGACTAGTTGTAACCAGTAGCATACTGGAAGATTTCACAAACTGCTTCATGCCACTTTACCATGCATGAATATATAACTTTCGTGTTGCGTATGCTTCCCTTTACATAAGTACGATGATTAGGCTGTTGTTCGACCAAATTAGAATGGTTTGTATGTTGCTGTTTAAAATAAGGTTTGACAACTCTTTGAAACAATTAGTTCCCTTTATGAATTTAGATAAAGCAATAAGAAGACGTAATTTGTCTGAATCGTGTAATGTATTTGCGCAACACATTTCGAACAATCTGATCACACACGGACTTGTCATAGGAATATATATGAAATTAATAAAGAGGTAAGAGGTGAGAAAATAGACTTAGGTCAAGTTTAAAGGACATATTCAAGGTCAAATTAACAATGAAGACCACTAAACCAAATAACAGAGGTAATAGTACATCTGCTATGGTATCAAAACAAAGTTTACCAAGGAAGGTGGTTTAGTGTGATGACGAATTGTTTTTGAACGCATAAAGGTGGCTTAAACTTTCTAATTGCTAGGGCTTCCACAAACTTTAGGATACGCCCCAAACACGTTTTATAGATAGGTTTAAAAGATCTGTTAACGTCAATTTTATGTCCTGTCTCTATAATATGTTTCGCAATAGAAGAGCTAGGTCTCCTGTTCTCACCGTTAATAGGTTCTGAAGATTCCATTTGTTTCTGGAGCCATTTAGGAATATGCTGTGAAGCCAGCCCTTACTTGCAGAGATCGATGAGTCCTCCCTATGTATGTGTGTCCACACGTACATTCAAATTGGTAAATACAGTGGGATGTGACGTCATTTTTCGCATGTTCGAAGGGCTTAGATAGATATATTGGCTTTACATTCTCTATTATTATGATATTGGCTGCATAAAAAGTCTTTTTGACAGCAGCGTTCAGTCTTTGTCTAGTTATCAAGCTGCTTTGATGCCCCATATAGGGTAGCTTGATGTACACGTCTTTCTTAGGGGCGAGCTGGAGAGTGGGTCTTGGTGTTCTGACTACTTTATATCTCCTGATGAACTTGTCTGGATAATTGTTATCAACCAGAGTTTGTGTCAACATTCTTTCTTCCGCATCAAGTGTGTCTTCAGTGCATATTCGTTGGATTCTACTGAAGAGGCACCTTACTAAGGCTCTTTTGTACCGAACAGGGCAGAAACTGTGGTAATTAAGATACTGTCCTGTCCATGTAGGTTTTCTATAAATAGATCTTTTTATTGACCCATCAAGCCGTCGACTAAGCAATATGTCTAGGAAAGATAAACAATTATCTTCCTCTTCTACAGATGTAAGTGATATGCTATTCTGGACTTCATTCATTCGATTTAAAATTGAGGTGGCAGAACAAGACTTATCACTGATGATTACAATATCATCTACATACCTTCTATAAAGTGGCACATTTTCGATTAAATCCTCCGATAAATTCTCAATGTACGACATATAAATATCTGCTAAAAGGGGCCCTAACGGACTTCTCATTGCAACACCATCGACTTGGCGGAAACAATCGCCTTCAAATGTAAACCTAACATTGTTAGTACATAGAAGTAATAAATCCCTTAAATAAGATATAGGGAATGGGATGAAAAAATTGTTTGTGGAAATATAATCACACAAAATGTCAACTGTTTTGAGCAAAGGCGCATTAGTGAATAACGAGTTTACATCAAAAGAGTACATATTCTTATTCATAATATTAATATTACTATCTTCAAGAAAATCAACCAATTCAAATGTATCTTTTAACACATACTTACAGAATTGTGTTTTTACTGGATGCAATAATTCTACTAACCATTTAGCAAGTTTATGTGTTGGGGATTTGCACATTGACAATATAGGACGTAGAGGATTATTGGGTTTATGTATTTACTAATTTGAATGTACGTGTGGACACACATACATAGGGAGGACTCATCGATCTCTGCAAGTAAGGGCTGGCTTCACAGCATATTCCTAAATGGCTCCAGAAACAAATGGAATCTTCAGAACCTATTAACGGTGAGAACAGGAGACCTAGCTCTTCTATTGCGAAACATATTATAGAGACAGGACATACAATTGACGTTAACAGATCTTTTAAACCTATCTATAAAACGTGTTTGGGGCGTATCCTAAAGTTTGTGGAAGCCCTAGCAATTAGAAAGTTTAAGCCATCTTTATGTGTTCAAAAACAATTCGTCATCACACTAAACCACCTTCCTTGGTAAACTTTGTTTTGACACCAATGCAGATGTACTATTACCTCTGTTATTTGGTTTAACAACTCATTAATTAAATGATTGAATCTGGTTTATGTGATCTGAAAATCTATGATTACATTTACCACTTTTAAATGAAGCGCAAATTCACGCACGTGAGCATTTGAGAAGACTTCTTTACTTCATTTTGAATGTTCGGTGTTGATAATTATGTGACGCTTAGCGCTGAAGTATGTACGAATCTCATCGCTTTGAACATTGTGTCACCTGAAATGAATCAAATTCCTATAATCTGATTCCTGAAAAAAATCACCATGCATTCATTCTGAAGTACTCCTTAAAATCTGAATATTTTCTTCTTGGCAAAGTGTATAACTAAGCAAATTGTAGAACAGAATAGAACAGAACACAGCAATGTTTGCATTGACACAAAATCAACACAAGAATGCGCAAATGTGCTTAATCTAGCCAGTTGCACCACACATGAGGAAAAATACTAAGTTGCATGGAGAACAACAAAAACTATAAAACTCAAGTTTCGAAGTCGTGTGTTTATAATTGATATGATTATGAACAATAAATTTAGTTCGAAACGTCATTCAGTAAATAATACTATTTCACTGTGTGATATATCTGATAAACAAACTAATGTGGGATGAAATGGCTTTCTAACAGTCTCAACTACAGAAGGAACGGACGAGGATGTCAAATCGAGAACCGCGAAGGCGAGAAACACATTCATCAACCTCCAACCAATCTGGAAATCTTCGTCACTCACTCAGCCTGCATCAACAACAAAATTCGGATTTTCAATACAAACGTCAAGTCAGTCAGTTCTTCTATATGGATGGATCAGAAACTTGGCCAGTGTGTCACAAAGAATATTTCCAACAGCCTGTTGCAGACCTCTATCAACAACTAGCTGTCTTCGCTCCAAATTGAAGATGAGATTGCCGGAAAGAATCACCAACAAGAAACTATGGGAACAAACAAAACAAGAACCAATCGCTCAACAAATATGCAGGAGAAAGTGGAGATGGATTGAACACTCGCTGAGGAGGCCGCTGGGTGACATCGCGTGTCAGGCCAGTGCTCGAGTGGAACCCGAGAGGGAAGCGGTGAGTGGGACGTCCAAGGGTGACATGGAGGAGGTCTTGTGAAGAGGAGAGTTGAAACAGTATGGATTAACATGGACGCAGGTGAAAAGTACAGCAGAAGACAGAAGCAAGTGGAGGCGTGCAGTTGAAGCCCTATGTTCCACTAGGAACCCAAGGGAACAATAATAATAATAATTACTGCCAAATCATATTAGAAATAGAAGTGATTATGAGGAAATGTGATACTCTCGAAAATGTTGATTAATTCATCCAAGTGGATTGTCACGAGTTGATCAAGAGGATTGTGGGCACAATGATGAATAAAACGTGGTAGTCTATAAATGATTTAATAATTTATTCCTTTCACATTGTTATGTAGCCATGGTTAATCGATGCATAATGACCGAATTTCAAATGTGCTAGAATTCTTGCTGAAATATCGTTTAGCAATCACACAAACAAGTGAAACAAACTGGGAACCTTCGTCTACAGACATTGTGTTTACAACAAGTGTGGTTTCGCCCATCATTGATGTTAGTCTGTAACTTATCATCTGCCCCCCCCCCCCAGGTAAATCATCTTGAATCACTCCTAAGGTGAATCCTGCCATTTTATGACGCTCAAATGAAATAACAAATTTCTTTGCGTAACTTATGGAAACAAGGATCTTCGTGAAGAATCACACAACAGTGTTTCAGGAGATTGATATTTCAACACATTTTGAAGTATTCTAATAAAATTCGGCTGTTCTCTTTAGTGGAATACGCAAAATATATGTGAAATTACTCTATTCCAACACCTGGACAGATATTTACCTGTTTGGGATGATATTAGATGGTTGGAGGCAATCGGCAGGAAGCCTTGGACCTAGGTTTCGTGCTAGTTGGCACTCGTCAGCAGGGCGTATCTGCAACCTTGAAGGAACTCATGTCCCTTCTGAGATTCGAACCCGCGTCACCTGTCTCCAATTGATTAAATGTCAGTAGGAAAATGCACTGACTTAAATATGATGTACTTCACAAGTCCGAAACAAGGCTGTTTATTGAACTTTGATAGGATACACTCGTTTTACAGATATCAGTCACCAGCTTGTGTATGAAAACAGATCTTTGGCATTACTAGTTCAACGTCACTTGTGTCTCTTGAGAATCGAAAGGCACATCAATTACTCCACACATTATCATGGCTAGTTCTGACGAACTAAGTACTTTCATGTCCCCACCATTCTCATGCATGTACTCAAATGATACCATGTAGTATTATATTTAGCAGCTTCATTTTGAAATGAATTCGGCCGAAATGACTAACATTCAGTTGGCATATCTTTTTAACCAAGATACATTTCCCTCCGGATATTCTCATGAAATCCTTCGACGTCGTGCAATACATTACGTGCATGAAATGGAGTACACCTTGACCAACCTTCAAAATCAACTCACTGATTTGCAAAAGCTGAACAAAACAGTTATTGGGGGTGCCGCAATATCCTCACTTGAAAACAATTTGTCCATATTTCAACAACAGCTCACAGAGATACTGTTCAATACTGAGAGAGTTCTGAATCAATTGGGTCAAGTGGATGGATTTTCTGAAGAGAGGATTTCCAGGCTGAATGAGATATCTCGAAGAGTACAGAAGAGGATTCAACAGTTGCAGGTAAACAAAATCTCAGTTGATTAGGCTATTGCAATGAAAATGGCGTGTGTGCCACTTAACTTTATGAAGTTGTTCAGTTTTAATATGTTCATATTGCTCATGATTCTCGCTTCTAACACTAGTAATCCCAAAATCTGAGCATGTATGCAAACCACATTGCTATTTACCAAGAGGATTCTATTCTGCTTCACCAGTGTCTAATTGGAGAAGTGTGTATTCTTCCCCAAGCAATCAAATTTCAGGAAGCCCGGCGACCAAAGACCACAAAAATACTTGATTAGCTTATTGCGATAATCTAGCCACCGGCGATGTCTGCATATCTAAATGTGCAGATACACAGGAAAATAATTGTGGGGAAAAAGACTTAAAGATACGTATTCAAATCGATGGTGCGTCGTTGTCTTTTTTCTTAGCAAATCACAATTAAATCATGCTTTTTCAGTCATCCCTCTGACAATAGAATTTAAAGATGAATAACTATGTACGCACGAAGTAAGTATTCACTAGTCGTGTTCGGCTATGCTCAACTGAAACACTTCTATCCCAGACGAAGTGGAAAGGCTGTACACCTAACTCGGTATCACATAACTTCTAACTTTATAAAACTCTAAACGCGTTTACTTCCTAAGATATTTACATTGTAATGCCACTTTGAGTATACTTAACACCACCTGCATTCAAGTGCGGAGAACAAATTATTTTCTCCTGTAACAGTAATACATTTTCGACATTGTCATTTTCTGACTGATTGTAGAATCCGGCTGACTGCAGGAAAGCCAAGTTTGTGACATTCGATTTCCTAGATTTTTGTGGATTCGGTTGTTCCATGCACCGGTTGACCTACTGCCTACAACTGTCTGTGGAGAGTGGACGTGTATTGGTCTTGAAGAGACATGGGATTGGAGATATTTTCCGAGAATGGTTGCGGCAGAACATCCTTCCGATTTCTGACAAGTGCAGTTATCGAGACATCTTTAAAGCGTCAGGTGCGTTGAATATTCTATTTCATATCTGTAACCAATATTAGATTTAATTACTTCCATGTCAATATGATGAATAATACGCTGCATAAACTCGTATAATCGCTCACGTATAAAAATATCACACGAGTAATTTATGTATTTCCATAGTGATAATTATAGAAAAAGCTTTAGTCAAATAAGTAATTTCATTAAATTCTCACCAGACTTTACATTTACATCATGAAATGTTTGTCGTAGGCATTTAAGTCCACGCTATCGATGAAATATGGGATCAGAGTTCAGGGATGTGACATAGCGAATAACAGTCGAAGTGATCATAATAATAATAACAAGGATAGATTCAATCAAGTTTTTATATAATCTAGGCAACTTTCAGTGTGTATATATAATGTACATACTAGTAAGGCTAGACTATTGTCACATGGAACTTAGATAGTAATTATTATTTATTATTATTGTATCCTTTAATTCCTACAGGAACATAGGGCTTCAGCCGTGCGTCTCCATTGCGTTCTGTTCTCTGCTACAGTCTTCACCTGGCTCCATGTCTGCCCACACGTTTTCATCTCCTCTTCACATGACCTCCTCCAAGTCACCCTTGCACTGACGACCAACTCGCCGCTTCCCTTTTTGGCCGGGTTCCACTCGAGCAATGGCTTGTCTAGTGATGTCACTTGATGATTTGTTTCCTCAGAGTATGGCCAGCCAATCCATTTGCATTTCTTCCTTCCTATTTGTTTCACAATCGGTTCCTGCTCGGTTGGTTCGCTCATTGCCAGAGATCTCTGTCGCTGATCATTTCTGGTCGGCCATCTGATCTTGAGTATTGAGTGAAGACAACTGTTAATGAAGGTCTGTAGTTTGTTTGAGATGCTGTTTATGACGCGCAGTGTAAGTCTCATATCCGTATAGCGAGTAGCACTGACTTCCCATTGGAGTTGAAAATCCGGATGTTATTTTTGATGCAGAGTGTTGTTGTCCTCCACACAGACTTGAGAGTAGTGAAAGTTTGTCTTGGTTTTCTGATTCTTGCTTTGATATCCTCGTCAGTTTCTCCTGTAGTTGAAACGATGCTTCCCAGGTAGGTAGTGGAGGTTGTTTCTTTCAGGTTCCTCCCATTTATGCTGCTGATTGTTTTCTGTTGTTGTTGTTGCTGTTGTTAGTAAACTAAAAGTATATTGTGAAACCAAGATTAAAGTGTACAACAATATCACAGCAGGATAATGATAATGCAGTTTGTATTACAAATAAAATAAAATAAGGATATAATGAGATAATATTTATATCTTCACTTGTGAAGAAGAGCATGATGGTAGACTACACTCCTTTGATGTTCTGTTGAGCAGAACACAGGATGGTTCACTCAAGAGAGATGTCTATAGAAAACCAACATCTGTAGGACAATATACACATTTCCTCAGTTTTCTATCAATCCGATACAAAATCAATTCGGTCAGATGCCTCACGAATAGAGCAAGACGGATCTGTACGGGTGACTACCTAGAAAATGAGTTAGGGTGTATCAACAGAAGGCAAGACACGGAAGCCCCTGTTTATATGTGTACAGTTTATATTCTCCAACCAATCACTGAGCGTGTGATTTCGGTTTACATCAAAGCACATGAAATGGAATGTTCGAATATACATAGTATTCTTTTGCAAATGCAGTATTAAACTGTGGGAATAAAATTCCGACTCTAACATCAAATAGAATGTTCAAATAGATATATCATATTCTGTTACTAATGCCGAATGGAATCGTGAGAATATGTGGGAATACTATTCCGTTGGCACACATTGTCTGTATCGCACCACCACACTCGTCCTCCCGTTAAATAGTTTAGACTGAAGTTGGCTTCATCTTCTTGGTGCTGGCGTCTTCATTTGCTTGTCTCGCTGTATCCATTTCCGGAGCTCAGTGACGTTCACCTACTTCTCTTTGTCTGCATTTTCGGCGGTATGTACGTGACGACGTCTCACGGTGACCGTGTATGGTCCTTCCCACTTTGGAATCAGTTTTCGTGACCCTGGCGTGGATTCGCCGGTGTTTCGCCTGTCTCTACATTTAACTTGATCTCCGATCTCGAATGCTGAGTACACCCCCTTACCCTTGTTGGGATTTCACAGTGTTTGTCTTCTGCTTTCGTTTTACGTTGTTGATTGGTCCTTTCCGCTCCGTCCACCATCTCGTCATAATCCACTGCTGGTGGTGGAGCCAGGTCTTGTTATATATTGGTGGTCATGGTTTCCTTCTGTACATCAACTGAAACGGTGATTTATTCGTCATTTCTCGGGCGGATTCACTATGTGCCGGTAGAATCACGGGGAGCTCTGTTCTCAGTTACTTCTCCTTGTAGCCGGGGACTATTTTAGAGTATGGCTATTTCTCTCCGTCAAACCGTTCGTTTGTGCATGATATGGCGTTGTTCGAATTTTCCTCATGCCGATTGCTTGCAACCAAATTTTAAACTCTTCACTTTCAAAATACGGACCCTGATCTGTCAATATCGCTTACTGCACACCCTGGTTTGCAAAGACCTGTCGAACCACTGCTTCTGTCACCGTCTTTGCTCGTTGATGGGGGATTGCGACTGCGTCTAGCCATCGTGTGGCGTATTCTGTCATTACCAGAAGGTATTGGCTGCCATTATACGTCTGAAGAAAAGGTCCCATTACATCTATTGACCACAGGTAACCCACTGCTGTCACTGGAATCGACTGCGGTGATGGTCGTATGTACTGGTCACCTTTCACCAGCTGACATTGCTTACATGCTGTTACGTACTTCTTCACGTTTTCTCTTATATCTGGCCAGTACATGCTTTGTCGCAGGAGATCGATCGTTCTGGCAACGCCTGTGTGTGACAGTTAATGACATTTTTGTGTCATCTCTTGGCGCAGGCATCGCGGTATTACTGCTAATCAGCTTCCGTCATCCTCCTGCCACTTTAGCATTCTGCAGTCATTCAAGTCGCTCGCCGACTATGCACATGGTCCGGGGTTCGATCCCCGGCCGACTCACTCCTTTACCTCACTAAGCCAGAAATAATGCTGGTGAAGAGGAAAGGTTGGGCATGAAGCTAGCAACCCTATCCTGTAAAATAAGCACTGCTACAGAAACTTTAAGCCACTAGCTTGAGGCCCTATGTTCCACTGGGGAACGTGAAGGAAATAAAAAAAGTCATTCAAGCTCATTCGGTCTTTCCGTTTGAGTTGGGGATTTAACTCACGATTCGCTGTAGGCTGATTCACATTTCTTCATTAATTATCACTTGTATGACAGTTTGCAGGGCGTCCCCCGATCTTTAACTCTGGACAATTCTTGCTGGATCTTGCTCTAAGGCATCTACACTATATGCTATTTCAAGTAACTCTACCTCTTCTGTTCTAAATAAAATATCCGGTAACACGTTCTCTTCACCTCTTTCAGTCGCAACATCCACCTCGACAACTTCTCACGTGGGCCTCTGGCAGTTATCAACCACTGCCACGGCTTATGATCAGTCTCTACGAGGAGGCATAGACCACGTAAATAGGGTCTCCATTCGTCTAATGCCCCCACAACTAGATAAATTATGAACATAATTCTAAACACACAATCGCCAAACATTCCTTCCCTTTTGTTGAATATTTCTATTCTGTGTGTGATGAAACACAGCTGGCGTATTCGACGACCCCGTCACCCTGTCTGAGTGCTGCACCTATTCCGTAGTCACTGGTATCCGTAGACACTGAAGGGCTTTCCTGGCAACCGTAGTCATAGCATCATTCTCTGGTGATCCATCAGCTGTTTGGTGCGGTCGAACACCCTCTGTGAGTCTGCTAACCAGACCAGCTTTGACTCGCCTAATAGTCGGTAGAGTGGAGCCGCTACCTTGTTGAAGCTTTAACGAACCGACTAAAGAACATTAATCCCCCAGGTAGTGGTGTTATCTCACCGTTTCCCACCTTGTATCCTAAAAGCACAACATTCTTCATAGCAATCTGAGATTTCGCCTTCTTGATGCATAGACCGAATTCTCCGTTACGTCTCAGAACTGTCTCTGCATGCTTCACTTGGTCACTCTCGCGCGTACTTTATATCACTAGACTATCTCCATAAACTTCGACGTTTCTCAGATTCTTAAGCAGCAACGTCATTAATCGTCTAAATGTAAACCAGGCACCTGTCAATCCAAAAGGCATGCGTTTAGACCGATATTGTTTCTGTCCCACAAAGAATACCGTCTTATCTCTATCTCCTTGCTTTATTGGTAGTTGCCAGTACCCTGATCGCAGATCGGAGACTGTGAACAGCTTCGCGCTTTGTAAGCGATCCAAAGTTCCCCTTGTAGTTGGCAATACACACGGTCTCATCTCTGTTATGCTGTTCAGTTGTCAGAAATCAACACAAAATCTGTATTTCATGTTGCTTTTCTTCACTAATAGCACTGGATAACTATATGGGCTATCGGATTCTTCAATAATGTCATCCTTCAACATCTCTTCAACCTCTCTTGCAACCTCGCTTTCTAAATGACACGGAACTCTTCGACTTATGAATGGTCTCACTTTCCCGGTCGTCACTGGAATTTCGTGCTCCACTTTATCACAGTAACTGTACGGATGTCTATCTCCAGTGAAAAGATGGTCATATTCGCTAAGTAATGTTGCTACACATAGTACTTCCAACGCTGCAATCCCTGCTACCTCACTATGCTCGTGCATGCTGAAACACCCATACTTCGTAACGACAATCCTTTTCCTCATGTTAATCACTGTATCTACTTCTCGAAAAAAGTCTTCTCCAAGGATTGTTCAACAAAACTCGGGTACAACCAGGAATGAAAACTTCGCGTCAACCTCTCCATTACTAACTCTGCAATCTGACACTCCTGCAACTCTTAACACGTGCCACTCCACTGTCTGCACTATCAACGAACATGGCCTTATACTCCATCATAAACTCTTATCTACGAGTGAGACTGCTGTGCCTGTAATAGTTAATTAAACACACCAATTCGCGGTCATTTACGCGCAACTTCGAATACATCACCCCATTCTCAATCGCCCCTATTATCTCAAATCTCGGAGAATAGAAAGAAGACACAGTATACCTTTTATCCTAGTAGATTTGTAAGGAGACACATGAAGGCCAGTAATAATAAAGAGGAACTGACAACAGTTAAAAAGAAACAACTGTCCTAAAATTGCAGTCTGATGGGGACGTGGCTAGTGAAGTCTCACACGTAAGATTATCGAGAGCGATAAAACGGACTTATACTGCCGCTACCCTTTGTTTTTTCTTCAGTCGATTAATTATGATAGCCCAGGTGAAAGACATCCTACCTAGCGGTGCTACTTCTGTGTGTATCCACAAATTTAGTTGCTTCTGTCGAGAGGGCGTATTAATGAGCATCTATGGTTCGGAAAAGACCAAATAAAATCTATGAGAAAATATATTATGACTAATCTGATTGGTGATAGAGGACACCAGGTGAACAGGAGTGATGCCTTCAAAGTTATCTATCCCATTCCATCGAGCCTTTCGAACGGAATTCGAATCCGTCTTCTACACATAGCCGAAGCTATGGGAACTCCAGAGAACAATCCTGGTTTTGCATACAAAAGACGTTTGTTCTACCTTTGTCTCTCCCTTGGTCTAGGTAAATTTTAATTCAAACAAATCCTCCCACCCTTTTTCATTTTCCATCTCCTTCGTACTTTTATGGTATTTATTTAAATTCTGATTATCTGTCCACTTCACCTACAGTATTACGTAACTTTAAGGATTTGACCTAGATTATTTATTGAACTGTCTACATGTATACATATTACTTCCTTCTTTGTTCTATCGCCACCTGCATAAACCTTATTATCACTATTTTGTTATCGTTATAATCATCGTTATCACTGACGTTCAAAACATTTACCACATTACTGTTATTATCATTATTTGATCTACAACATCACTGTCATTGTTTATAATTTCTATATCTAAATCTACGTAAATTAAAGTAAAGCCTGAAGAAGATCTAATTCAGAATAATGTTGTTCGATTATACGTCTTGTTCTAATAGTAGTAATAATAATAATCGGAATTTTTGAAGATTATTATGATCACCTCGATTGTTATTCATTATTTCACATCCCTGAACTCTGATGCTTTATTTCATCGACCGCATGGACTTAAATGCCTACGACAAACATTTCATGATGTAAATGTAAAGCCTGATGAGAATTCACCGAAAATACCTATTTGCTTAAATCGTGTTCTGTGAATATTGTGCAATTGTAAGAAACGTGTTGAGAAGTTCCCCTATTCAGAATATCTTTCGTATTTTGAGGATTTCAAACTTGCCTATTTCTATTTTTTTGCCAGTGACACCGATACAGGGAAAAGTGTGTTAAAAATGTCATTAAAAGTAGTTCTTAATTCTATATTTAACTAATTTCAGAAGAAGGTGATTCTAATTAAGAGATGTCGATTCATAGAATACTCTATAATTAAACATGTCTTGCAAGTGCATTAACAAGTTGTTCCTGGAGTGTCGAATTTATATACTTGTGTGTTGACAAAGATCAGTTTGGTTACAGGATTTTCATCATGAGCTGACATTCGTTAGAGAACCATTGGAAAACCTGGGAGTACTGGACAGCTGTTTCATCCTACTTTGGGACCATTCATCAGTACGCACCCACCGGGATTCGAACTCAGGACCTTCTGGTTACAAGGCTAGAGAGCTCGTATACCATTAAGCCACCAGGACCTGAACCAATGGTCCTTGAATTCTAACTTCTGCCGATTCACGACATAGTGCGACCATTTCGGAGTGTCTCCTTCCATGAGTTACTGCCTCATCTTCATCCTGTTGTACCCTACTGGTCACGGCTTCCCACTAGAATCCCGTGACCAACGCTATGCCGTGAATTGGCAGTAGTTAGAATTCAAGGACCATTAGATCGGGTCTCAGTGACTCAATGGTCTACGAGATCGCCTTGTAACCAGAAGGTCCTGGGTTCGAATCCCGGTGGGTGCGTACTTCTGAAGAGTCCCAAGCTAGGACGAAACAGATATCCAGTACTCCCAGGTTTTCCAATGGTTCTCTAACGAATGTCAGCTCATGATGAAAATCCTGTAACCAATCAAATCTCTACAAACCAACACTTGAACATCATTTTGGTTAGCTATTGTGATGATTAGTAAACTCAACTTCTCAACATAGTAGCGAGTAATACGTCACTGACTTCATCATAGTGACTTCACCTCATGAATGTTATCAACTTCGTTGATCGGAGTTGTAACATTTGGTTAAGTTGATCCAGTGCCTATTAAGTGGTTGATGTTAATTTCGTTTGACATAATGAATGTCAAGTAATTATAAAATTGTTTATTTAACTACAGATAGTTTGGACTGCTCTGAATTATTTTTTCATTCTACTCATCGACACCACTGGATTCCAAATATTCTACCAAGTGACTTGGCTACAGAATTATTTCGTCATCACGAAGCACCCTACGTTTGGTTTGCCGGTCAGCTAGCTGCGTTCATTCTGCGGCCTAAACCTCATCTCGCTGAGTTAATCAAAGAAGCGGTGAAGGAATTCAAGTCAAAACATCATCCTGTTGTAGGTGTGCATGTAAGACGTACAGACAAAGTAAGTGTTAGTGAAAACTCTTTGGAAATGAGGTATGGTGCGCACATTGATTGGAATGTCTATTAGGACTACTAGCTTGCGATTTCGTTATGTAATGAAGGTAACGTTTGATCAATATTTGAAGTCTAATCGCATTTAGATGTTCAACTATTGACCGCATCAATTTTATGACCTCATAATTGGTCAAGGGAAGACCTGAACAATTTTCAATCCCTCTCCACAATACAATACCTGGTGGTTTGATTTCACACGGATTGTCCACCTGAATGACCGCCTGCCTGTGCTGATTTCCAGATGTTATATCGTATTGCCATTTGAGGCAAGTAGTGAAATGTGAACTGTCGCATTATCTGATCGAAAACGATTGTCAAATTAGTGGTTCCGATAACGGCTGGATGATGTGATTAAATTGCTTGAAGTTGGCTGGTTCTGTATGAGCTAACTTTGTATTATCCTGAGAAGATTAGATAACCGAAATAAATCATTCAGCGAAGAGACTCCTTTCAACGAATTCATCATCAAATTGTACAATCGTATATATATGGTTATTAAGAAATTATATCCGGTGAGGGAATTCAATCATAGGTGTGAATGCATAAAGTAATAATAATAGTAGTATGAAATGCAAATAAAACTAAAATGTCTGTGATTATAATCGCATTTAAATGTCAAGTGGCAAAACAATTAATGTCATATGCAGAATATTCAAGTATCGGTTTTGTAGGGATTTTGTTTGATTGCATGGAGGATTTCATCATGTGCTGACATCAGTTAGAGAATCATTAAAAACCTGAAAGTATTGGATAGCTGTTTCGTCCTAGCTTGGGACTCTTCACAGTACGCAACCACCGGGGTTCGAACCCAGGACCTTCTGGTTACAAGGCGATCTCGTAGACCATTGAGTCACTGAGACCCGATCTAATGGTCCTTGAATTCTAGGCACTGCCAATTCACGACATAGCGTTGGTCACGGGATTCTAGTGGGAAGCCGTGACCAGTAGGGTACAACAGGATGAAGATGAGGCAGTAACTCATGGAAGGAGACACTCCGAAATGGTCGCACTATGTCGTGAATCGGCAGAAGTTAGAATTCAAGGACCATTGGTTCAGGTCCTGGTGGCTTAATGGTATACGAGCTCTCTAGCCTTGTAACCAGAAGGTCCTGAGTTCGAATCCCGGTGGGTGCGTACTGATGAATGGTCCCAAAGTAGGATGAAACAGCTGTCCAGTACTCCCAGGTTTTCCAGTGGTTCTCTCGCTGATATGTAGAATAACTCAAGGGATGAATAGAACTTGGAAAGAGTTTGCAATTATAGGAATAGCAGACAAATCCAACCAAATTAAAATAAAAACGTTACGCAATATTGCGTGAAATTTGATAGCATGGAATTTAACGTTGTAAAAGAGGAACTGATTTAGAGTGACAAGCGGAACAAGTGAGATAATACCGGGAACAGTTCAAAGTGAGAATAGTAATAGTAAAAATTGACCTAATAAAGGAAGAGTATACAAATTGAATAGACAAAATGAAAAAAAGTTCCCTTTGAATTCCAAGCTCATGTATAGTATTTTCCTGGGTGCCCTTGATAAATCACGAACCTCCACAGTATCAGGGCTACATATAGGTCGAATGTGAGTGGTAAGCGACCGGACCAGGTTTCGTTTTCGACCGATGGGTACCCAGCTGTAGAAATTTGTCAGTTGACCATTCTATGACAGCTTTCGATAAATCGATCTCTTCAAGGTTCCATCGGTCCTCCTTGATAGGTGCACAGCGAGGAAATGAATGCTAGACTTGTTCCCCATTTTGAGCGTGAATTTTATCGCAGGATCAAGTACTTTTAATATATTATTCTAATTACAATCACTACTACAAATAATAAAGGTGTCGTCTACATACCTTTTATACATTTGAATGCTTTGGATTAATAGCTTCAACTGACCATCTTCTAGACTGGACATAAAACAGTCTTCAATGAGAGGACCCAAGGGAGAACCCATTGCAATATCATCCTTCTGTCTGCAGACTGTTTCATTGAAAGTAAACTGTACATTCAATGTACACCTCAAAAGTAGTTCTTTCAGATCTGTAGTGGGTATCCCTATATTACATTTGTTATCTTCAATATATTTGCATATAAAACATATGGTTTCTGTCAGTGGGACGTTCGTAAATAAGGATTCTACATCCAAAGACAACAAATGTTTATTCGAAGCATCTGTATCCTGTATACATTGAATAAATTGGAAGGTGTCACGAAGGGAATGATTAGACAGTTGTCTCCTAAAGGGTCCTATGAATTATTCTGCATATGACATTAATTGTTTTGCCACTCGACTTTTAAATGCGATTATAATCACAGACATTTTAGTTTTAATTGCATTTCATACTACTATTATTATTATTTTATGCATTCACACCTATCATTGAATTCCCTCACTGGATATAACTTCTTAATAACCATATATATACGATTGTACAATTTGATGATAAATTCGTTGAAAGGAGTCTCTTCGCTGAATCACCACTTGTTTTGATTTTCTAAATGTTACAATGGAAATTTTCCATGGGTTAATGTTAGATAACTATTTTTGAATGGGAACGATTGGACTCCTCAAGCTAAGACCTCATAATTTGACATTGGACTAATAAGTCTGAAATATTATTCAAATTGTATGACTGACGTGACTGAGACTATTGTAACGACAGAAGGCAAGAGTTAGGCAACAGATCATTTATTAAGGAAATCAACGCATATTTATATATGTTTTCGTGTACATTACTATGGATATGTAGACAAACAAACAAACACAGTCTTCCGATTGGTTGTTTCTCACGACAAATCTTGGGAACGTAAATATTGACGTGAATTACTGTCTACCAATTTGGCTAGTAGACAGCTCTCACCACACTATTATTTATTTTCAGAGGGAACATGCTTAGCGGAAATGCAATGATTTAATGAGACGTTATACTTGTGTACACCACAAACATGAATAACTGCATGTTGACATATTGGCTAAGGTAATTTTTGCATAATGTATTGTCCCAACAAAATTGAGTGAGACATCTGTGTGTTATTTTTCAGCTACTTTGGGAAGCTGACTCCTACAATTTGACAGAGTACATGAAACACGTGGAAAGTTATTTCGATTCAATGAATTACACTCAACGGGTGATGTCATATATGAAAGTGAGTGAATATTTTCATGAGATAGTTTAATGACCAGAATGTTATCTCTACCATTTCACCAAGTCAATCTCTAGGTGAAACGATGAATCGAATGGTGGCTATTTTGTATAGCAGATACTTCCATGTGAAATCAGGCACATAGACTTCATCCCATTCATGTGTATCCGATGTGTTGTCCAATAATTGGTCACGAACTTCTCACCTCATAACACGATCGAATATCGATGGTGATTGTAGTAGGTAGTTCACTCACTGCCTATCATTCATATCAATTATCCACTATCCTGTTATTCACTACTCACTCGCTTTGTGCTCTCTTCATCCTTAATCATGAGTGATCGCCATCCAGACATTGATGAAAACTACAAAACACGTAATTCAGCTGGGAGGCTGTTTCCGATGAAGACAGAAAACACATTCGCGAAAAAGATACTCATCGCTGGACTACATGCTTTCCTTTCGTCAGTCTCATCATCTTAGTCGTATGTGAGGTGAGGATCGGCTTCATCTGACGGTTGTCTATGTAGGTTGAGGTATTGTAACTGCAGAAGATGCAAGACTTGGTGTCTCTATATCATCAAATAATGTACACCTTATCTTCAACGCACCATTTGCACAGATCTTTCGTGTTGTGCTACTGCTCGCCTTCCATCATTTTGTGTTTCTTGGTGTTCCTTTTACGTCTCACATGTATCTCCACAACACTGTATCATTCGCCTTCTCTGATATTATATCTGTCTGTCTGCTATTTGATGATTTTATGTCGGAAAACATCTCCTTATTAGATACTGGAGATAAATGTTTTCAGTGGCAGCCCCCACCCATCAGAAAACTGCGAAAATCAGAGTCTATGAGTAGACAATTGCCAGTTCGAGAAGATCGTTACGATGCATTTCAGTAGCTTGCTAAATTATGCCAAATGGTACACTTCTTCAGGTATCTGGAAGGAACCGGTGAATAATGCTTCTCAATTGTGGATATGTCATTGATACGTATATTTGTAATTTCGCAGAGCAATGGATGGTTTTCTCATTCTAAACAAAATTTCATCATGCTGAATTTGATAAGTTTCGTGATTGTCCACTTTCATACATCATATAACACAGCTTCATTATTACTGATATATGCATAAGCTAATCAAAGTAACTTAAATTATCATCAAAAACACCTCGAATTTAATGCTCATTTCAGTCTACCTAAAAGTGTTTGACACTGTTGAGTTGCTTACTACTACATGGGAGAGGTGAACAGGAAGAAAAAGAGACACAGTACGAAGAACAGAAGTAACACAACATGGAGGATCTGTGTAAATGATGAAATGAAGATAAGGTGTACAAAGTTTGGCTACATAAAGACACCGAATTCCAAATGATCATTGCTTTACCAAGTCTCTTGTCGTCTGCCATTATACTGCGTCATAGTAAAAGAAGGATACCCAATTTAGAATGTCTGAATTCCATCTGGTAATACTCAGCTTGAGTAGGAGTTATCGTCAATAGACCAAACAAAGGCAGAACACAACTGTCCAGTGACGAGGATGTTGGCACAATAGAAGCAACTAACTGGGAAACTCCCGAATACAGGGAGAAAATAGTAAGTGGGATGAGGAACAGATGAGCAGTTTACTCACTCCGTCTATGATTGCTAAGTGCAGAAGTAGGTTTTTGATTAATACCCTCATTTCATCAGTTTCATATGAACTTCAGAAGAGCAATGAGGAGAGTTTGGGTTTTTGTTTTCAAATAGATTGGTTCGTATTTCTCACCAGTTGATTATATAGGATGAAATGTTCCGTCTGTATTCATGTATCAGCTACCAATACGGACGATTTAGCAATACTTGGGAATTTACATGATTTTTTTTCGGTTGATGGTGGCTAGCAGTGGAATCCAAGATACCCATTTTCTGCCGTTCGGGACTTTTCAGCTGAATGGGTCTGCATTTATCAGTAGAAACTGACAACCGTCTTACACGACGTGGATCTCATCTCTGGTGGCCTAGTAAATAATACTTTACGGTTTGAATCATTGGGTGTTCGGTTCAAATGCAAGTGAGGCCACCGTCACTGATTAGAGATGCAGCTGCATCCAGATGACAATTCCCCGATACGACAAACCGCACAACCTGGATTTCACCCCTAACCACCATGAATGAAATAACTTACTGTTTCCAACTAACTAACTAATTTAAGCGTATCAATGGAAATTTGGAAGTTGATATCTAAGTGTATAGTTCTGTCTATGTACTAACTCCTCTTAATTACTAATACGTTACATTACCTGATGCATTAAGTACCTAACCATGGTCAAATACTCTCCTCCATTCTGCGAGTACGTGCTTAAATGAGAATCACGCGATGAGAATGAATTCTCAGTGCCTCTACGTAAAGAAATTATGAGTATGAAGACAGGATATGGTTTACACAACTATGTTTTGTCGGATTTTCGCTGGTACTTACACAGACGTCGTTATGTGCTAGTTCACGGCTTGTGTTTAAACACTCATACTGATAACAGATTGGACACCAATGGGTGAAGACTATCTTGGAAAGTATCCTCTGGCTCACTTTGTGATATTCAACTGCACATAGGTTGTTTACTTACTGGCATTCATCGGCAATATGTACATGCAGCCTGAATGGAAATAATATGGTCATGTAGATAACATGCAGTATTACAAGTGAAAATATATACTAACAAACTCTGTATGTAATTCTTTCAGAATTCAAAATTCAATGCAAAATGTGGCTAGTAATTAAAAGATGACAATTTAATGCATGCGTCTAGATTCTATAGAGCAAACTGTGCAATCGATATTGGCAGAGATAAATCCTGAGTGATTGTGCACTGTCAGCTCCTTTCCTATCAACTTAAATCTATACTCAGAGAGTGGGCACAAGTAGTTTTAATGAAACTCCGGAAAACATTATTTTTAAATCTCCCGCTTATTCAGAAATATTTAAATGATGTGCGGCTGAAGTTTTACCTGTATACTTTGTGTGACAACGCTTGATACGGTTTATCTTCTTTGAATGCACATGATACCGAATAAGACAGCAAAGTTAAATGTCACATCACCGTTCAAAAATTAGATGTTTTGTAAAAAAGGTGTTCGGTAAAGCAGGTATAGTGTTTAGCAAAGCTAATCGACATTTGAAGTCAATTTAAGTACCTACACTGTGAAGTGCTCATATATAAAACTGGCAAATCTCAAACCACAGCTGTTTAACTCATAATTTGCTTACTGATGATAATTTGGGATCACCGAAAAATGAGATTTAGTTTCTTGTTATTTCACTGGTTAAATGTTGTCCTTTTATTCACCTAGAGGACAGCTTAAATTGAAGTCGAATTTAGTATCTAATATAACTGTGAAGAGTCATTATTAGTATTATTGTTAATGCTGCCTTGAGCTCCAAGACGGGAAAACGGTTTACAACGGTATATGTCCACTATTTTATATTTTCTTCGGTCCTCATCAGCTGGGCACACCACTGCCTACAGTTTCTCATATATTCCTCGGACAATGAACTCAGTATCACCATTGCAGTAACACCCAACTCCACTTTTCCCATTCCAGTTTCATTCGAGTGACTGCATCGCGCACGATGATAGCCAGCGCTATTCTTTGAATGCGTCTGATAAACTTTCACTGTCTTCGGCATATTTGCAGAGAAATTGGCTCTTCAGAATTCCTTTGCCAGCCGGAGTTTCTAGCTGCTAATTCATCTGACCTCAAATATGGAGTCAACGAAGGTAGTTGTTGGTATGATTCTGCAGTGGCCTGTTCGAAATAACTTTCATGATACGAGCACCACCTTTCTGACCCACATACAAGAACTGACTGTCCTCACATTTTTGTTGCAAATCCAAACCTTGTTCTTTATGCTGCTGAGTGCAGGAGGTTTCTAAGTGGACTTCAAAGTGGTGACGGTGTTTTCTGACAATCTGATTCTGGCCATCTTTGACATCTCCATCCGTTCCGAATGCCTGTGATTGAAACAGTGCTTCATGACCAGACAGGTGAAGGAAGTCACATCTGTCACATTTCTTCGTTGTTAGTGATTAGTGCTGTGTTTTAAACTGTTGATTGGTTATCTTCATACCGCCATGTTCATCTGCGGTCCTGTCTTCAATGCCTGCTTTTTCAGCATCTGCTCAAGAAGCCGACATGTCAACCTGAGACCGAGCACTTCGGTCCGATCAATCGACGAGAAAATCCAAAATTCAATTAAAGCTGTACAGTCGTTTGTATGTGGTTTCTAAGAAATTATATCCGGTGAGGGAATTAAATCACAGATTTAAATACATCTTCTACATCTACATAAATAATAATAATGATCGCTGAACAGAAATTCAATAGTCAACTTTCTGCTGAAATCATTAGACAACCTAGCAATCATACACCAACACCCAGGTAACCTCAACGTGAGACTTTGTTTCCACTAACAAAATATTGAGCGAGTTGTTGTACCTTTTCACTGCCGTTCAATTATGTTTCTTTTTTTCATTTGTTTTGTGAGTTTCTAAACATATATTTATCAAGGATGCCAAATAATTCACCTTCACTTTCTGCAACTTTTAGTCTCGGGATATGAACAAATTCACATACATGAATGAACAGTTAAATGGTACTCGTTATTCTTCAGAGAACAAACGAAGCGTTTATCTTGCCACAGATGAAACTTCAGTTTTCAAGGAAATTGCCGAGCTATATCCTGATTATATTGTTTATGGAAGTCAAAAGAGATCACAGTCAGCGAATGTGGATATTCGCTATAGTATCACTTCAATGACAAATGCATTTGTTGATGTGGTTTCATTGTCACAGACCGACATTCTCGTCTGTACATTCTCTTCAAATGTGAGTAGTTTATATATTCTGTGATCACTCAGAATGTTTTTGTGTATCCTGTAGGCTTTGCTGCTGATGGAGGGTAAGAAATACTAGATGAACAAAAGGGCTGATTATCTCAGGTATATATTCCTTTTCACTTAGTTCCTTCTCATCAGACAGCTCCACACTGATATATAGTTTTCTACATTGAAATAGTCTTTACCAATCAAGTGGTTATTTTAGTTAATCAATTTCAGGTATAGAGACGGTTGAGATGAACTTTCAAGATGTCAAGTCGTGAAAACCGTTAACTAATTGATGTTATTACCAAGATATCCAAGTTTTGAAGGAGAGCGGTGGAAATCGATTACGGAATTCTAGATAAATCAGTTCTTAGGCTTTATGAACAAATGATTATATAATCAAGAAATCTGTCAAATAGCGATGACTTAGAAGAGTAAGATGTCTGAGAAGAGTTACATAAAGTAAAAATAAGTAAACAGAATTGGATAGAAATATAGAAATAAGAAAGTCAAAAGATAGTTAAACGGGGAGACGAAAAGTCGCTTTTAAAATACTTAATACATATTATGTATTTGTCAAAGGTAAAGTAAAGGCCACTTGATCTTTTCGAATTAACGAAGTAAAACGTACAACCTGAAAATTTTTTATCACCAACGTTGACATTCACGTATGCATATACAGAATTCTGAATACGACACTTCGTTGACGTCAATCTCTACATTTCACAATGTCCTTTGATTTCCTATTCATTCCGCTCAGTGACAATAATGTCAGACAATAGTGAATGGTTTTCCCTAGACTTCAGATACTGACATGATTCAGAAGTCACTTAGTCATAATTAGGTGATCCACACCGTCTGTTCAGGCCAAACTTAAATATAACTGGAAATTTGACGTATAGAATCATTGTAATACAGTGTGTTCCATGATGAGCGCCACTGTAGAAAACATCACACCCCTGAATAGAAAGAAGTCAGCAGGTGGGATTCAAAATCTGACAACTATCTTCTTCGAAACACCTGTGGAATTAACTGGTGAACTTCAACAAAGCGATTATTATTTGCCCATTCCATTTTGTAGCAGGCCTTTTTACTATACACAGAAACACACCTCAAGTTTTATGCAAATATTACTCCCATCAGTCACATTATTTCCATATCTAATTCTTCTGCCTTCCATTTGCTCACCGTATTCAGGTGTGTCGTCTAGCCTATGAATTGATGCAAACACGTCATGAAGAATTAGGAGATGCAACACAACTAATTCGTTCTCTTGACTACATGCATCACTCAGAAGATTATTCGAGGATCGAATTCGATGTAGTCATACCAGATGTGACAACAAATATACACTATGGCAACCAGGTCTATTTATACAGGAATTATTGGAATGGGACGGTGGCCGTTACACGGGTTGATTTAAATGAGATAAATCGTATTGAATTTGCTGACTGTGCACGAGACACTTTTTTTCTCTTACCTACCTACAAATTGAGACCACGATATACGACGGCAAATATCAACTGGTTGTAGCAGTAAATGCTTTAGCAGTTGACCTCAGTCAATTTCAGAGAGTTGGCGTTAAATAACCACAGTGTGTTCCCGAATTCATTTTTATAAATACTCATAGACACCAACCGATAACCTGAGCACAAGTTGTTAACATCATTTGTAGAACAAGAAGTAACTTCAGAAAACTGTATGCTCGCACGTCTAAGTATAAAAATTCTATGATACCATACTTGGCACGTATTTTATGTGATGAAAGTAGCGTCAGGCAAGAATTGACTAACCTTTTTGCCTTTAGTAAATAAACAATCTCCTCCATCCATCTTATATACCTTCAAGTTTTACTTTTATTATTTCTATTATATTTATGGTCCTGTTGATTCTTTGTTTTCATTTTAATAACTGCAAACACCAACTTATCTCTATGACTTCTGTAATCTTTCTTTTCTCCCTCACCATATCATGCAAGGAGAACATTATATTCAATATTTTTAATCATGCAAGGATTTGTATACCGCATCGACAATACTGTGTGAAACAAGCCCATGGCAATTTCCACTTGTATTATCATTATTACCTTAGCTGTTATCATTATTATTATCATTTCCATTTTATATTGTGCATGTTTTTTTAAATATTACCCATATTGTAAACGAAGAAAAATTTTCTGTGATTAATTTTATTTATAATTTGAGGAAATTAGATGCAATATTGTGATTAATGCTGAAAATTCCATTCTGTATTACAAGTACTGTTTTTAGAATAAAGTAAGTTATTATTATTATTGTTGTGAGCCAAAATATGTGGTTTACCTTATGTCATACAGATTGCTTTGCCATTTTGTTGATTTTGGTGACATGCGAGGAGTTTTCTGAAGTATTATATGTACTAAAATTAAGACGATTTATCATTACCGTCCAGATATGTTTGCTTCTCTTAAACACGATCTGTCTTCACTCAAACATCAATGATTTTCTTAATATTGCTATTCTCATTAGGAGGATTAAGATTCACCTCCTGCATTCCATATGGGATATAGGAATTCGGTGAAGCATATTTATTGTATCCTGTCTGTCACCACCTTTCTAGCTGTCAGTACTATCCTCAATGAATGTCCAATCAACTTTTATCTCATTGTCAGTGCTCCTTGAGAAGTTGGTTCTCACGTGGTTCCCTGTGGCAGCTGCCTGTCGCTCACTGCTTCTGGCCAGACATCAGATCTGCAGTATGCATCAGTTGATGGACATCTGACTCCAGGTCGAATCGCCCTCCATGATGAGCACGTCAACTGTCTGAATGGAGTGGAGGCGCTGGTATGACGTTAGTGATGGAAATTCTAATCTTGCGCTCAGTGATGAAGATATTCACATTGATTACAGAATGACGATCGCCGGTGTCTTGCTTTCCTGATCCCATTGCAGCTGCCTCCGGTGTCCTCATCCATGTTACCTGTAGATGAAACGATGTCGTCCATATAATTAGGCAAAAGAGATAACAATATTCAGATTTCTGCAAGTGATGGTGATCGTCACTTCTTCTTGTTGTTGGTTGTCGCTAACACCCGTGTCTTCTCTGTGTTCACCTGAAAAGACTGCCTTCACGGCCTCTCATTCCAGCTTGTCATCTTCCGCTTGTGTATTGAGATCTTGGGATATTAGGCGTGAATCATCCACCAAATACCAGACCATCTGGTATCCTTTTCTCAGTCCAACGTATATCAGTCATCTTCCTCTCCACGGAAACAAAGTTGGTGCAATCAACCTAACAAATCTTCGAAAAACTGGAGACAGAAAGCATTTATTGAATACAATAATATCCATCAGTCCGTCTCAGATGTAAAGTAAACTCCTCAATTTGCAGGGTAAATTACAGCATATAATTCTTCATCTGGTCACAGTCTGTAAATAAATTTGTTGATGAAGAGCGATGACCTGAGAAAATGCCTCGCTGTTTCACGATTAACTCAGTGTTAATCATGTGACTACTTTTAGAATGTTGAGTATCGCTTCACATCATGTAAATTTGGATTTTTATCATGGAAATCAGAGGAATTAAACAATTTAGAGGATAAATGTCTCAGAAATCTTCTGCATATAATCCAGAAGAGAAGGCAAATCATTCTGAAGTAAATATGAAGATCTGCATCAGTGATGCATCTCAAGATGCGAATCACCAACACTAACGTCATGTCAGCTCTTCCACTCGGTTCAGACACTTGATGTGGTCATCACAGAAATCAATTAAACCTGGGGTCAGACTTTCATAAACAGGTGACTTCGCTACATAATGGAGTTCCGAGAATTGGCCAGAATCAAAAACAACAGGGAGTTGTTTGAGTGAACCACGCGAGAACCAGCTTCACTACCAACACTTTACAAAGCAAAATGTCTCATTCCCCGTAGGTTTTAAATACATGACATCATCTTTGAGTATTCAGTAGGAAGCTAGAATTATTTTTTGAAATGATACAGAAGATTTTTAACTCAGGTGGATGATTTTTATTCGGTTGTATTCGCTGAGCTGGCTAATCATTTCTCTGACTTATAATTTCATTTGTATTCATACGTTTTGCGCATTCCGCTTATCCATATTTTCCGACGACTTCTTCAGTATTATTTTTTACGCTGCTGAACATCTATCCACCACCCTTGTCTCTTTTCACGAGAATGTCATTTGAACGTACATAAGATAATGGCGATTACGTATGAGTATTCATCTCTGTTTACACTAATGAATGATGGTCAAAGAGTTCAGGACCGACAACACGCTATTCGGAAAGACATGTTTCGACTATGAAAACTCATTTGAAGGACATTCGAAATGAATTACTAAATTGGCCCGAGGTAGCATTAACGAGACATGCTCTTTCAAACAAGGACTACTTGCATACTTAAAGCTCAGCCTCAATTACGGATGGTCCAATACATAGTGTATCATAAAGTAATAGAAGGCGAACCTAATATCCTCGTATATTTCGGCAGCATCGAGAGATTGAGTTCTTGACATAAATTTAAAAAGTAAAGCAAATGATTCAGTAAAAAATTAGAAGTATAACGGAATATCCAATGACTCACTCATTAGCTCTCTATATTTCACAGGATAACACGCAAGAAGTTTTTCATTACATTACTTACTCATTTCAACGTTCTTGTAGTACAAACCGATGGAAAGCCTCGCAAAATAACCAGGAGAATTGAGCTGCCCATTCGAATTTGAAATGTACGGATTTTCATTCGTACGAATACATTCACTAAGGTAAAACATTCGATGTACTTATACCGGATATGAAAAGAAATTTATGCCATGATGAATATTCGCTTAAGCATGTTCTAAAATAGTCAATTTTCGGAAACCAAAAGTCCTAGAAATGTATACTGGTGAAATGTGAAACTAACGATGAACAGTTTCCTATGCAGTGTGTTCATGTAGTTCAGACTGCTTAGAGAATAGAGTGGGGAAAAATCGACAGGAGAAAATATCAGCATCTGTCAAACCCAAGGTAGAAAAACCATAGAATTATATTCTGCATTCATTCGATTTTACCTTGCAGCTCACCTAGTAACTGTGGAACCAAAGTAGAAACATATTACATCCTAATTAACGAATGAATCAAAAATAAAAGTAAGAGAAACAAAGACGGGAATGAGGACAGCAGTGAAATTAAAATATCTAATCCTTCATTATGATAAATGAAATAGCACTACAGCTTGGATATTCAGAACGGATCACAGAGATGGTCCGTTTCCAGAGAAACAGAAAGAAACCGATGTTTCGCAGATTTCTAGACAGATTATCGCAAAGGAGTCACAAATCTAGGTTGGATAAAATTTATAAAGTCTACATAAAAAACAGTTGTTATTTTGCTTCAGTTACTTCACTGCCAGGGAAAAGGGTAGAAAACGAATCATAGAATCGGAGAATATTTTATTAATATTTCCAAAGTGTTCACCTTAGAAATTACATAAAACAGGGTTATCAAAACAAGATTTTGAGCGAACAATTGTTTTCGATAACTTCTTCTTCAGGCTCTACAGTTATAAATCTATGAATAATAGAGTACATATAGCCAATAAAGGCAAATGAAAATAATATCAGAAACTGAAATGGGGTGCATGTGTAAGTTGAGATGATAGTCCATTAGTTAACATAGTCAATCAAATGTGTATAGGGTGTATAGTCAGAAAAAAAGTGATGAAGCGGGAATGAACAATTGGGTGATTCAGTGCTGTTTTATAGTCAACAGAATACAAGTGTCATTGGGGTGACAGAAATGCGGTAATCACAAAATACGTACAAACACACATTAACAAAGGAAGCACTGAATGTGAGGGCTGACCGATAATGTCTAATGATAAAATAAATAGTCTAAATTGTAAATTGTAATAAGATGTTACAGAATTGGTAGGCTTAGCATAAAATCACAAAGGTTGACAAAATTAAGGGTAACAATGAAGTGAAATAAGCTGGGTGGAGAAATGGATAATAAAGATATGATATTACAAAATGATAATAATGGTAATAATAATAATACGGAAAATTATGATCCTGGTGACCTCATAGTGGGCCAGGGTAGACAGAGAGAGTGAATAAGTTTTTTCTGTACACATAAGTCTGGTCTTTCTCTATTAATCTCTAAAGCCTCAGCTATGGCTAGGAGGCGTAATCATGTGCCTTTGGGGAGATTGTTTGGTACTCGATACACGACTGTAAATGACTCATCTACTTTGATGCTGTCTGTCTCGCTTTCCTCATCCTGTCTGCTTTTGACGTCCTCATCGCTTTCGCCTTTAGTTAAAACAATGCCGTCGAGATAAGTGAAAGAAGTGAGAGAATCCATTCAGGATTTTCCATATACTGGTGAATGGCGCTTGTCGTTGTTTTTGCTTTTATTCAAGTATTTTCATCACTGCATTATGTTCATATCATACTCATACTCTATTATAAGTGCATATTTTTGTATTTCTTCTACAATATTTCACAAAACCTGAATGCTCTTCATTGATTTTTATGAGAAAATAATTTTCTACTCTTTGCATACAATCCTAGACAATGTAAACTCACAGATTCACTTCTAGGTCACACAAACACTTGCAAGAACTTGTTATTGTTTCCAGCATTATTATCATTACTACTTCTATGATCACACTGACCAACTTGAAAAAGTGCTTACATATGTGTGTGTGGTAGAAGCTTCTGGGTATCTCTGTCTCACACACACACACGCTCACTTTTGTGAATTTCACTGCTTGCAATAGACGGCCTTACTTAATGTTCTTACACTTTGTGCACGTAGAAAAAGTACTTCTGTTTTACTGTGTAAACGCAGTGCATATTGAAATATGAAGATATATATTATTATACTTATAATTGTTCCGTCGGATTCCGAGTGGAAAATAGGGTTTCAACACCACTTATCGACACTTCCCATGTCTTCACTACAGGCGTTGCGTCATTTCAAAGATTCTGTGGTTAATCTCCATCTTTCCACCTGACTGGATTACTTTTTAATACTTTCACCCCGTCAAAACCTCCTCATTCAGAAATGTGTGAGGAGGCGTAGAAAAGTAGCGAACCAAGAACAACAACTACAACAACAAGCATCAATCACTATGAACGGAATCAATCTGAAAGGGGTGACATCCTATAGTCATCTAGACAACATCTTTTCAACTGTAGTGACAGTACGAACGACGATGTCAAAACCAGT